ATGAAGCTGCTATGAAATTCTCATAGAAATCTTTTTTTATTGCTTTATTACATTTATATGGCGGTAGAGCACATGCCACAGCGTGCATGTAGAGATCAAATAACAACTTGCAAGAATCCATATTCTCCTTCCACAGAAGTCTCAAGGATCAAACTCAGGTTGTTAAATTTGGCAGGAAGCACCTTCACACACTGAGCCATCTTGCTGGCCCCTCATAGAAATCTTTTGTGAACAAATGTTTTTCTGTCTCATGGTGAAATACTGAAGAATGAAATCTCTGGATCACAAGATAAATGCATGTTTGGGTTTTTTTTTTTTTTTTTTTTTTTTTTTCCCTTAACTGTCAGGCTCCTTTCTAAAGCGGTTATACCATTTCACCCTCCCCTGAAAAAGCATTCCAGTTCAGTCATCCTGTAGGTGTGTAGAATACCAACTGTGGTTTTATTTGTGCTTCCCTGATAAGTGAAGTCATGTACTTTTCATGTGATTCATCCTTCTATAAAGTATCTGTTGAAAAGGTTTAACTTTTAGTAAGGAAAACAATTCCTATCTTCCCTGAATTTCTATTTCCTGATGGTTAACCGAAAGTTGTTAACTTTTTATATCTACTACATTCCTTTTTATTTTTTTTTTTTTGAGACAAGGTCTTACTGTGTAGCCTGGCCTGGAAATTGCTATGTAGACCAGGCTGGCCTCAAACCTACAGAAATCTGCCTGCTCTGTCTTTGCCTGCCAAGCTCTGGGATTAAAAGTGTGTACCACCATAGCATACCACCATACTCAACCCGTTTTTTTTGTTTGTTTGTTTGTTTTTGTTGTTGTTTTTTTTTGAGACAGAGTCTTACTGTGTAGCACTGGCTAACCTGAAACCTGCTATGTAGACCAGACTGGCCTCAAATTCACGAAGATCTGCTTCTGTCCCCTGAGGGCTGGGATTAAAGCCTTATGATTTTCATGTAGCAGATGCCCTAAAGTATACTTAGAAGAAAGGAAAAGTGCAGTGTTACTATGCCAACATTAAAGTTGCACCTGAATGAATAAATGCCAAACTCCTCACTTTAGTTAAGGGCCCAAACTTTTTGAGCCAGGTCTCACCTATAATTTTATTCAAAACTGTTTCTCCAGCTTCAACTAGGGAACTACAACCTTGGATCCATCCTTATCATCCCTTTCATCCCTAGGCCTAAAACATCTCATACACACAATGTCAAGCATTAGTCTCAATTATCATTGCTCTCAATGAAGATACAAATATGAATGAGCTGCCTTTCAATGCTTTAATTTGCTAATTCTCAAGCATAATCACATTCATTCACTGTCTAGAGCAATGTGGCATTCCAAAGGATCAAGGTCAGGTGCCCAGGTCACAAGAGCACATGGCTCAGTGAGTTTTATTTGCCTTAGCACTTTGGTTACAAGGTTACTTAAAAGTCATTAGTCCAGAGTCTGTGCATTTTGGGCAAAGTCATTCCCAGAGGAAAGTAGAAAATAAGCAGGCCTTGCTGGGGTCCCAATTAGTTCATTATCTAACTTTGTTTCACTACATACAACTATCTACTTCTGTCACCAGACTTAGAATAAAAAGACAGATTTCCCTGGGATTTGGAGTCTTCATTTCCAAAGGTTCTTATGTCAAGTAAAACTTCATTAAATAAATTTAGTATGCCTTTGTCTTTCTATAACGATGTCAGCCATAAACCTTGCAATGAATGAAGAAAAAACATGACTATTCTCTCCTATGTAAAATACAACAAATACCAATAACCAAAGGCAACTGGCCAAAATTAAGGTTCTTAACCACTCTAGCTATTACATTTAACATTGATTTAACCCCATACAGGTGAAAAAGCAGTTTCTTTTTTTTTTTTTTTTTTATTTTTTTTGGGGAAGGGGTCC